AACATCAAAGATGGTCTGTTCGGCATTAAGAGACGCTTAATTCTTGGCCGCCTCCCCAGTGAAACGCTCGGTGTCTGTAAATGCAACCCACGAGGGGGTGATCCGATTCCCTTGATCGTTCGCTATAATCACAATGTATCCATTCCGGTAGACACCAACATAGGAATAAGTTTGGAACCCATAGCTAATCCTAACAGAAATTCTAAGTATCGAAAGAGAAGAAGAAAAAGGTAAAGCAAGTAAGTCAACAGTGAGAGAAGAAGAGAGAGACTCTACAATTGATGTATCAATTTTTGGTTGTGTCAATTTTTTGTACTAAGTACCTCGTCATTTGGTCTGCTTCCAAGTGGCCGATGGCTCAGAGGCCAAAGTGGAGAACTTTTGCTGGATGAGGACCTGGATGTCGAGCTGACCAAGCTGAATTGGGGGCAGATTGGGTGTCGAGCTGACTGAGCCGAGCTGGGCAGGTTAGGTGCCAAACTGACTGGGCCGAGCTGCCTATTAGGTGTCGAGCTGACCAGAGTGCCGAGCTAGCTGGTGGCGAGCTGGATTGATTGTTGAACCTCGTAGTTCTTTAGAAACCTGCGAGGAACCAATGTCAGAGGACCTGGGGTGGCTAACCCGGCGAGGTCGCTCCGATGTTTAAGTCAGTACTCTCATAGTAGACTGCGAGCTAAAAATCACAAAGTATGAAAGTTAGAATATGCTTACTTGCCCCCCTATGCCATTGGGGTTGGTGCCTTTATATAGGCATTGTTTGGCGTGGGCTTCACGCACCGCATCCTAGATTTCCGAGAAGTCATCTAAGTGATCCGAGATTCCCTGAGGCAACCGCCATGCACGTTGACCACCCTCCGAATCGTTTGGCACGTGGGCCAACTTCCAAGGGTCGTGGGAGTGTTAGGATATGCATGCTGAATTTGTTGGCGAGCATGCCTCGCAGGTCGCCAGGTCGGCGCTTGTGCCAGGCCGCCAGGTAGCGCTTGTGCCAGGCCGCCAGGTCGGCGCCCATGCCAGGCTGCCAGGTCGCCAGTTCTACGCCTATGCCAGGCCACTAGTTTGCGCCTAGGTCAGGCCGCCAGGTGGGACACCATCAACTTGGCTAAGGCAAATTGTTGCCTAAGTGGTTCTAGGTGTCACCTAGTTGTTTCGAGGTGCCATGTGTCACCATGTCAATGGAGGGTCAAATCCGCCCTCATCATTTGCCCCCCACTCCCGCTCTGAAAGTAACTCAACGAAGGGAGTAGATTGCTCCTTTTGGCTTGGAATGAATAATTCGACGAACTCGTAAGCATTGGTTCAATTCCTTAGGCTCTGGGAGCAACTCGCAGTCCACTCTCATTATCCTTGATTTTGCCCATGCCGAAGAGGCGACTAGGTCTTATGTGGTGCTGAGGTCTTTGCCAGTTCGGCACCTTAGAGCTACGGTTGCGCTGCATCAGCCTTGTTAGTGACGTCGGTCACCCACTCCTACAAAAAGCTACTGGGAGCTCGATCTATGGAGGCAACACTATTGACTTTAGGTCACCAGCTCGCATGGGAGCCTTGGAAGGCTCGACCGACAGAGGCATATCCATGCAGTCTGTTGGCCGCCTACTCCTGCGGAAGCCACGAAGAGCTCGTCTTGTAGAGGGTACACCGTGAAGAGGACTGATGAGGCTTTATCCGAGTTGAAATAAAGTCGGCAGAGTTGCTTTGTCTGTTAGACATCAACTTCTTGCATAGTCATTGAGTTCATAAAAATGGAAACTAGAAAGTGAAAGCTTTTAGTTTCTAAAAGGCGAGAACTTAGCTTTCTGGAAGAAGAGGACTTAGCCTTTCAGAGGATGAGAACTTAGCGTTTTGTAGTGTTTCCCACAGATAGCGTCAATTGATGTATCAATTTTTTGTGCTAAGTACCTCGTTATTTGGTCTGCTTCCAAGTGGCCGATGACTCAGAGGCCGAAGTGGAGAACTTTTGCTGGATGAGGACCTGGATGCCGAGCTGACCAGGCCGAACTGGGGGCAAATTGGGTGTCGAGCTGACTGAGCTGAGCTGGGCAGGTTAGGTGCCGAACTGGTCCAAGCTGGGCAGGTTAGGTGTCGAACTGACTAGGTCGAGCTGCCTATTTGGTGTCGAGCTAACCAGAGTGTCGAGCTGGCTGGTGGTGAGCTGGATTGATTGTTGAACCTCGTAGTTCTTTAGAGACCTGCGAGGAACCAATGTCAAAGGACTTGGGGTGGCTAACCCGGCGAGGTCGCTCCGATGCTTAAGTCAGTACTCTCATAGTAGACTGCGAGCTAAAAATCACAAAGTATGAGAGCAAGAATATGCTTACTTGCCCCCCCCCCTATGCCATTGGGGTTGGTGCCTTTATATAGGCATTGTTTGGTGTGGGCTTCATGCACCGCATCCGAGATTTCCAAGAAGTCGTCTAAGTGGTCCGAGATTCCCTGAGGCAACCGCCATGCACGTTGACCACCCTCCGGATCGTTCGGCACGTGGGCCAACTTCCAAGGATCGTGGGAGTGTTAGGATATGCATGCCGAATTTGTCGGTGAGCACGTTTTGCAGGTCGACAGGTCAGTGCCTGTGCCAGGCCGGCAGATCGCGCTTGGGCAAGGCCGCCAAGTCGGCGCCCATGCTAGGCCGCCAGGTCGCGCCTGGGCCAGGCTGTCTGGTGGGACACTATCAATTTGGCTAAGACAAATTGTTGTCTAAGTGGTTCCAGGTGTCACCTAGTTGTTCCGAGGTACCATGTTAGTGGAGGGCCAAATCCGCCCTCATCAGCAATCAAACTGAAACAAGCACGTCGAGAATCTTACCCATAGCGAAGAGAACCAACAATGTTGTTGCCCTTTATTTTGCCCCATCTTCGTTGAATGTTTTTTTTTTTTGTTTTCTTAACAGAATAAAATTGCTTTATAAAAATGAACTTTTGATTTGCTAATTTGCTAATCCATTCTAAAGATACTAACAAACATAGAAAGATAGAAATAACTCAAACATGGTCATACTCATATTTGATCATTTGATGAGAGAGAAAGAGAGAAATTAGCCTTTGGCTTTCAAGTCTGCCAGTCTCCTATTCAGGTCCTCGGAAAATACTACTCCTTTCTCCTTCAGCTAACTGCTTTATTCCTGGCCTGTGGGAGTTTCAGAGATACCTCCAACCCGTAATCATCAGCTACTTGCTGCATCAAGGACACCACCTCTTCAGGAGTAGACAGAGTTGTGGTGCTCGCCATTGACTTCTCTCCATGGTCTGATATATCTTCTCCACGTTCCCAACAGAAAGCGCCCCTTCAAGTGACTTCACTATTCCACTCATCGACTTCCAACTGTTTGCAGGTTGCTCTGGCTCCCGAGTCGTGCTACTACAACGTCAAGGCGGGATACGAGGCGCAGATAGTTGAGCTGTTCATTGCGCTTTCTGATCGCGTTTTGACCATAGATCCTTGCGTAGTCCATGTTGCCCTTCTCAATCGCTTTCTTTACTTTGGCCTTCTCTGATTTCTCTTCCTGCTCACACTTCTTCGCTTGCCTAACCAGCGATTTCGATGTGTGCTTCAACTGGAATATCTGCTCCATTAGCTTCTCCTTCCCCATTCTAGAAAACCCAGATCAGGAACTATAATCCTAGTATCAGTATGGTGACAAAGAAGAGGAATTTTTTTTTTTCTTCTTCTTCTTTTGGTGAAAAGAGAGGAGTTGGTTCTTCCGTTCTTATCAGTTTTGGTTTAATGAAATATTGAGGATTGTACTAGATCTTTCGCTTCTTTGGCCTTTCTTCTGTTTTGAACTTCTGTGGAAGAGAATGCAGAGGGACACTCTTGTGTAAGTTTCTACAGCCAACATCACAGATGCAACAAATACAGAAAGTATGAACAATAACAACAATGAATTAACACCAAAGGAGTCGTGGTCCATCTGTCCTGTTCCCCGATTGCATTCAAGGCGTCTACGTTCGTAACGGCGCCGATCCCCTGTTCGAGCCCGTCGCCAGTCATCATTTCTTCGATGGTGATGGCATGGTTCACGCTGTTAGCATCCACGACGGCTCGGCTAGCTTCACTGTGTGCTTCACAGCTACTCTGGTATTGCTTGCCTCCTCTTCTATGACCTTAAATCTAAATAATAATGTCTGCAATGTGAGCTTCCCTCAAATAATACTAACCCCACTCTTTGGCCTTAAATCTAAATAATAATGTTTGCCTGTAACTTTGTGGCCTGTACCACTACTGAGAAGTGAGAAACTGAGAATACAAATGAATGTATGTAGGTTAGATTTTAGAGAGAGAGAGAAGGTAGACCTTAGAAAGCTCCAAAAATTATCAGAGAAAGGAAAAATAGAAATAATGTTACGTGGGGTCATAACAAGCAGCCAGTGCTTAGCTGCCAGAGTCATCATCAGATCAGACATAGAACCTATCTTCTTCAGTAGATCCACACGGCACACGCAACACAGCCATGGGTGCGGAAAAAAGCAACTGATTTTAATGTCTTTGGGTTTCGTTATAGCATGAGAGTATAGGGAATGCGAGCGAAGCAAACAATGCATGCAGCTCCTTGAATCACAAGAAGGAAATGAGAGAAAGACGTATATTTTCGATTTTTATAGATGCTGGGTAGTAAGGAAATCCGCCTGAGAGATCAAAGGGTAGTATGGGGAGGATGAACAATGTTTTTCTCGTCTAGTTGTATAAGAGTAATATGGGGATTAAAAAATATCCATTTTTTTGGACGAAAGATGCAAAACAAATTACAGGGGTCTTTGTCACAGACCCCATAGTACAGGAAGATCTTTATAATTTACCCTTGTATTTATAATTTTTGTCAACTCATCTCACATCTCAAATACTCAATTCCAGACGGAGACAAATGGGTTTCTCCCATCTTACTCCTTGATTCCTTTGTCCATAAACTCAGTTTTATTTGACTTGGGGGAGCAAGGTGAATACTGAATCCATCGAACCAAACTTCAACCGTTGAACTTCATATCAAGAACAAGACGATCAACTACTATCTACACACAGAAATCCTGCTCATAAATAATAATATAATAAACTACACACAGAAATCCAGTCTAAAGAGAATTTTCTCCCAACTATTGACTGTTTCAAACCCAGGTCAGACATCCTCCACATTCTTTCTTTACTTCCTCTTTTATACACTACAGCGCTATATTTCTTATTAAAATAAACACTTACAGCTTTAGAATTGAATAAGAAATAAAGAAAAAAATACATTCTATTTCTAGACAAGTATCATCTGTAATAAAGAGGGCGAAGACAATTAATGTTTAATTTTTATAATAAAATAATTATAATAGTTGAAAAATGCACCGACCAGAATCTAGCACCAGCTCCTACGTCCCAAAAGTCAACTCCTTCACAGCGCTGTTTGATGACGATCCTCCTCTTGGGTCTCGACTCTCGACTCTAACCTCGACCGACGGGACGGGAGCGTCTTGCGTTGCACCCTCCGCCCCCTGGCTCGCGTTGCCGTCCACGGCGGCGCGTCGAATTAAGAATTAAGAGGCATTACAGTTAGTTAGAACAACTTCTTCCTCTGTCAACGTTTCCTTACGTGAAGGCTGGCGCGTCCTTGCCGAGATCCATAGACGACTTCGCAGAAATTGGAATCGACGCAAACCGGGACGAGAAATCGCGGTACCCGATCTCATCATCGAGATTACCGTTCTGCCCTGGTCCATCGTCGAAATTGAGAGCGTAACTTAAGGGGTCGTATTGAAATTTCCCAAGCCTACCACCTCCGCCGCCTCTGTTGTTCTTGTTGAATCGCCGGATGAATGTCTTCCATCGAGGCCCCGCCATGATCTCCGACCACTGCCTTACCTTCTTCCATGCTTTCATCCACCATCCGTCTTCGCTCTCCACCGACCGAATTCTCTTCCACCACACCGATCCGGCGGTCTTTGATTGGTCCGGACTTAAATAGAATATGCAGAAACAGCACTTTCTCTTGGCAAACGCAACATCCAGTAAGTCTTCACCCGATTCCCTTTCTTTGTTCTCGAAATTAGGAGTCTCCGTTGCCATCCGGTTGATAGATCAAAGATCAAACACAGAGGAAACAGAGGTTAGAAGGAAAAAGCAAGGAGAAGGATGGTAATCAATCCTGACACCCTAAACCTACTTCTCTCTGCCTCCTCTTGGTGTGAGAAGAGAAATAAAGAAACAAAGTCAGTAGAAGGGCAAAGTTGGTGGATTTATTAATTCTACAACTCACCGATGTTACCAGTTGTCTGTGACGTGGAATCTCTAACGGCTCGTTTCATTTGGCGGGAGGTCCACGGTCCACCCTGTCTATCCCGATAAATTCGAAATTTACATTGGCGCTCATAACACATTCCAACCGTGTATTGGGAACATCTCCCAATGATGCACGCTGATATGTGCATGTGAGGCGCTTTTAGGGCGCGCGCTCTGTAAAGGCGCCAATGCGATCAATTATTTCCCTTTTGTAACGGTCAAATAGAATAACCATTTAGAGGGCGTTCTTTAACGGGATTTTGGTTCCTTGATTAAGAATCTCATATTTATTTTTAAGATTAATGTGGGATCACGAAAAGTTTATTTTATTGAGTAAGTGATACTCATTTTTTACGTGAATAAATAACTTTTTCACATAGAAAGAAAATTGCTAATACTTATTTTTCTTTTAAGATTTTAATCATGTTTCATTCATTCAAGAGATTGGTACAAAGAGATACCAACCAGGCCAAATAAAGATTAGAGATACATTCTCAAGAAGAACAAAACAAATAAATGAAATTTAGGAGAATCAGAATAACTTCTGTAACTAAACCATCATAACTAGCGAGCAAGGTGAGTTAACTTCACCAGCAGAAATAGATAAGAACATCTCCAAACCACCATAACTGACAAGCAAACTGACAATAGGAGTTACCAACCAAACCGAAGCTGATAGAGAAGGTTACATAGCCACAAGCCAAGAATTGTAACTTCCAACTACACCAGAAAATTGTAGAAGGCGCATCATCTGTAACTTCCATCCAGTACACCGAAGAACTGCCAACTGCAAGCTGTCTTCCAAAGAAAGCCAGAGAACTGTAACGTCCAACCACAATGTTGAAGAACGGAGCGTCCATACACAATGCTGAAAAACTGTAACTACCATCCGGAAAGCCAGATAACTGAAACTACCAACTAGGACGTCAGAGCACATCACAGCCATCTAGGACGTCGGAGAAACTATCGTTTGAGCACTATCTCGACCATCTAGCACTGTCTCGGTCATTTTGGATGCCAGAATGCCCAGAAAGAAAGCAAACAAAGAAAAGCAAAAAAGGTGAGAGAAATAGAGAAAGAAATAGGTGATCCTCGAGAGATCTAGAGAGATCTCAAGAGAGAGAGAGGGAGGAAAACATAGAAGAAGGGAAATAGAGAGCTCGAGAGAGAGAAGGGGAAAAACACCAAAAAAGGGAGAAACAGAGAGGGGAAAAACACCAAGAAAGGGAGAAACAAAGAGGGGAAAAACACAGAATAGATGAAAACCTCTCTGGAAATAGAGAGACAAACCTTGAAAGAACAAGAGAGAAAACCTCTCTGGGAACATAGAGAGACAAAGCGGGGCAGGGGGGTGACCCCTACCAAACAACTCTACTACGGACTTCGCGCTTCCCAAGCGTTTTTGTTTTCCAAGAGACTTTGGCGCTTTCCAAAGTTATTAACACTTGAATGAGGAAAAAAATATTCTTTTTAATAATGAATTTTTATGACTAAAATGATTTTTACCTTATTTATCTAAGAAATAAATAAATGCAATTACTTATCTAGGTAAATATTTTTTAAAAAAATTTACCCAAATAATTACATTTTCCCCGGGTAACTAACTTACTAAAAAGAGAACAGGGCGTTAGTTCTTAGGATAGAAGTTTATTTTACCTTACGATTTGCTTGTGCAATTCTGCAACACTAAATCCTTTTATTTTCGTGAATTCGGATTTGATCATGAATGAAAGAACAGAGATATTCTAAACGCACGGCTGTAAGATGTGAAGATGGATTTTGTAAATTGTATTTTCGCCACGTTGACATCGACACTAGGGACATGTGTTAAAGATAAGGTGACATCAGCCACCACGAGCATGATAGCGGACCGTCCAATGATGTGACTAAGAGTCTGAGACTCCTCATAGTGGAGCCCACTTCAGATAAGATTTTAGGAACCATGAATATAAAGTTCACAGGGACAGATGCACGAATCATCTTGAGAAGAATTAATATATTGTAGTTTGGCCCTTAGTCCCCTTCCATACTAAATTACTAATCAATATAAAGCGAGTCCAATTAGACTCAGAGACACTCATATACATCGGGATTGAGATTAGAAAAATGTATAAACATCGGGAGTGGAAATCAGGAGATCGACGGCCTAGATATGAACTGTACAAACATGCATGCGAATGTACAGACCTAACCCAAGAATGATGGTTTATGAACATGGGGTCCCACCGAAGAGAATGATACCCTTCAGCTTTTTGCATGGTCGGAGGTTCTCAGAAATGCAGACATTATGCCCAATTACAATTAGAGACATACATTAATATTGAAAATTTGGAGATCAACGGCCTAGATTTGTACAGTGAAGACATGCCATATACATACATCCAATTCCAAGAATGATGGTTTATGTACATGTGTCCCCCCATCGAGGAGATTCTTTTTCATGCACAGTTCTGACTTTAGACATCATCTCATGTTTTGTGATCTGTTTGGCTCTTTCAGTCAAACTTTTCTTTTTATTTCTTTATTTTCCTGGTAGGATGGTTTTCACTTTTAAGCAAAACTACGAAACTCAATTATAAGTTATATGAAGGACAAAAGGAGAAAGAGTTTGTTTGCTTGAGCGAGAATTGAGTTAATCTATTTCATTTCATCAGCCATGTTATTAAGATAATAGCACACCTTACGAGTAGGTTAACAGAGATCATTTCATCTTTATTATTTTTAATAATAATAATAATAATAATAATAATAATATAATTGAGCCGTTGTGACAAATAATTAAATAAAGATGTTTAGAGAGTTAAAATTGGGAATCGTGCAATGAAATGAATTTGACAAAGGGCAATGAAGGAATGGGATGACAATTTCTTTTTCTCTCTCTCTATATATATCTTGTTACTGCTAGTTTTCCTCCTTCAGACTCATTCTCTACGTGCCATTTTAAATTATATAGAATAAAAAGGAGCCTAGAAACAAAATATGATATATAATTTATAGAAAATTATTGAGGTAAAAGAACATTTGGCCTCCCTCTTCCCTCTAAATTATATATACATATAAATTAGTATGAGTCTTCATGAGGTCCATGAGTGTATGGTAATAGAGACCAGATGGACTAGAAACAAAGTGGTTAGACAAACACACCAGTGTTAATCTGGACTAGAAACAAAGTGCTAAGGTTCATAGGCTGTTGAATGACAACCAAAGTTCTCCCTTGAATTTAGAAAAAAATAATTCTCTTATTTGTATAAAAAAAAGAACTGAGAATTTGGTAGGAAAAGAATTAAGATTTTATTTGATTTAGGGGGCGTTCGTTTTTTTTTTGGATTGTGAGGGAAGAAAGTTGGTCAATGGGATTTTGGTTCTCATTGACTAAGAATCATATGTTCATTTTTCAGATTTATGTGGGGATCAGAGAAAGTTTATTTTCCTGGGTATACCCATCTCTAAGATGGACAAATAATTTTTCCACCTGGGGGGAAAGTTGGTAATACTTGAATGGAACAAAAATGCCCTTTTTAATAATAGACTTTTATGGCTAAAATTGTCATTACCTTGTTTGCCTAAGAAATAAAATAGCATAGGTGAATATACTTACTCGGATAAGTGTTTCCCAGTAAAAACTTACCTAAATAATTGTATTTACCCAAATAAATAACTTATTAAAAGACAAATGGGGTCTTAGATGCAATAGTTGGATGTTTGAGATGGCTTATAGAATAAAGTGAGGTGCCAAAAGGATAGAAAGAAGATGGAAGAGTGAAACCAAGTACTGGCGATGGCGAGGGTAAGTAGACAAATAAAGCGGAGAGGATTGAGCAGAGATCGTAGGATGGGAATTGAGGAGAAAAATTCTGCTGCGACTTTGGTTGCATTCAACCCCCGATTAGCACTCCTGCTAAAAGCAATGCATAGAGGGCTTCACTTCTTCATAATCCGGTTAGAGGGGTCAGGGGTTCCATGGTGGGCCGAGCTTGGGCATTTTTACATTCTTGTTCCTAATTTTGAAGCCCATTTATTAAATGGGCCAGATGGACCTCTCAATTAGTGCAACAAGATATTGTAGGCCCGATATTACATATTCTGAATTTAAATTATGTTAACTTTAATTTTGCCTTATATATAATATTATAATTGTTTTCTGGAATGCATATTTTATGTCAAACATAAAGTAAGTGATGATATGAATACTTTACAACTGGAAAATAGGGAAATGAATATAGATGGTTTATGTCTTAATGATACAACTAGGCTTTGTATAAATTTATGGCCCAGGGATGGGCTGCATATTTTTAGATTTTCTATGCAGTCATTCTTACACCAGTCCAGTTTACTGTGTAGGTATATTTTGAAAATGGGAAGAACCGTTAAAGATAATATTTTTTGTCTTCCTATTTTTTTTCTTTTCTGTCTGGTTGAATATCTTAAAAAATATATATATTTAAGTGGTTTTTGAAAATCATAGGATATATTTAAATAATTTAGTAAAATTACAGGGCATATTTGAATAATTAACCCAAACAGTTGAAGTGTTTCAACATTGCTATATTTGATATTTCTATCAATACCCATCCACGTCAGGCGCAAAAAATGTGCAAAATGTGGTGTGGCCATATTTGTATTTAATAAATTATAAAAAAAATATTTTTGCCAATTTTAGAATATATATTTCAAAAGGTAAAGCTAATATTTTTATTTAAGGGCATAATTTGGTTGAACAGTTTGAACTAACTAAGTTAATGATAAATGAAGACCAGTATAATATACTGATAGTAATATGAAACTTTATTTGTGATAATATAACCTTAATAAAAATGACAGTGAAATAGTAAGTTATTTATATGTGAATAAATTAATGTGTTTTTAACTAAAATAATGTTATATATTGTCTATCAAATTTACCATCTTAAAACTAAAAAATCTT